TGATAGGTGACACTTGGTGTACCATCGGCAGGTGAGCAGTCCGGCTCTTCGGTGACTCAACGTAGGCGTGCGCGCGTGCGTACGACCAAGGTTGATGTGCGTAGACGTTTCCAACCAGATTTGTTAGAGACCGACAAAGTAGCCCACGATGGTTATCGTCAGATCTGGTCGCACGATGGTTCTGACTGAGCGCAGGAATTGCCATCTGCATCTGACACTAGCCCTAGCTCGACATTCCAAAATCGACCCCAACAACGAGCTGATCTACCGGGAATAATTTCTTCCAATGCGTAAGAAGCTAGCATACTTTTGAGGTGGAGAGACCAGCGCGGCTCTCGGTTCAAATCCAAATCTTTCACCATACTGCAGCCCCCCACTAGTTCCCGTTGCGCACGAGCCAATATATTATGTTTCCGATTCCATCTCTGCGACGAGGAAGATCTTGTCCCATCTTGATGTAATGAAGCACAGCTTGCAACACGTTCTCCAGAAGGTCTATAATATCTTTAGCTTCTATCATGGCTCAGAGTGTCTTGCTTGAGACTTCAGTAGGCGCCATAACTGTTGAGCTATACACCAAACATGCTCCAAAGACTTGCCAGAATTTCTCTACCCTAGCAAGCAGGAATTACTTCAATGGTGTCATTTTCCAGTAGGTACAAGACTGATTTCGCACTCACACCCGCAATGGCCATGTGAGACTAATGCACTCGCTGTCATTCAGCCGGATAATCAAGGACTTCATGATCCAAGGCGGCGACCCGACTGGCACCGGCCGCGGCGGCTCCTCCATCTTTGGCGAGAAGTTCGAAGACGAAATCAGCCCTGAGCTGAAGCACACCGGTGCTGGCATCCTGAGCATGGCAAACAGCGGGCCCAACACCAACGGGAGCCAGTTCTTCATCACTCTAGCACCCACACCGTGGTTGGATGGAAAGCACACGATCTTTGGGCGCGTCAAGAGCGGCATGCAAGTTGTGAAGAAGATGGGCCTGGTGAAGACAGATGGTGACGATCGCCCAACTGAGGATGTAAAAATCCTCAAGGCGAGGCTACTAGAGGATGACTTTGCTGGCTAAGCTGAGGCGATCCTGAAACGTAGTCTCCCGATGAACACAGAACGCAAACCCAGCATGGTGTGAGGTACGTCGACATGTTGGTACAGCATGGTGACATAGCCTTACGCCATTTGGTGTAGACAGGCCATAGCAAGAGCTGTGCGATGTCAAGTGCCAGGTGGTGCGCATACCGTTAACACATTGGCTGCCATATACGGCGTCAACCTCCACAGCCCTGTCCACCTCATAAACACACAGCTATGGTACAAGGTTTGGGATCAATTAGTCGGACGATAACCGTCAGATCACATAGATACGCCTATGCTGTGTCGGCGATACTAGGGCTCACGACCATATATAGCGTGACCTCTCTAGTGTGATTCAGCATCGTATGTTGGCCACTTCGAAGTGAGAACGACGCTGAGAACTGATGCTGAAGTGAGCCAACCGCAAGAGAGACATGTCACCAATTCCACATCCCATACAGGTTTGTGAAACGTAGGAGAAGCTTCTGCATGCCGTCATACACGGCAAAGTCCATCAAAAATTCCTCAAATGTCTCGACTTATAAAAATCTTTCTCTCAAATATCGTAAATGTCTGGCCACATCACCTCATTATATGAAAGTACCCTGGCTTACTTACACCTTGTACCTGTAGGACCATTGCAGTATCTGCTATAACCTAGGATTGAACAATGTCCGTAGAGATGCAAATGGCAAATGCTTACTAGCGAAATCGTGGGCTAGGGCAAGAACATGGCCGTGCACGCGCTTTATGGCAGTCGACCATTCCAGTTGATTGAGACTACTTCAACCATCTACGTGTCTATGGTCGTAATCGATTTCTCCAGCTGACTTTTTCACTTTCATCATCAATGCACGTAAAGTCCGCATCGAAGATGCAAGGGTAGAGCCAGCTTCACCTTCAGACCTTAGAAGACAACTCGCTCCTTCCTTTTCTAAAAGCTTAAAGGAGCACTTGGCGTCCGTCCGCCATTGCCATCCCGCAATTCCAAAATGCTAGAATGGCTGCTAGGCAAAAGTTTTGATTGCGACAAGGACGTTCCAGATCTCTCTGGCAAGGTTATTCTAGTCACAGGAGGTTCGCCACCCTACAACCCCACTAAAATGTGGGAATAAGGGGGGGCAAGAAGCAGACTACCCAACTATACTAACACACGTAATACAGGCAATGCAGGTCTAGGCAAAGAAACAGTCTTGCAACTGGCCAAGCACAACCCACGCGAGATCTTCCTCGCAGCGCGCAATGCATCGAAGGCCGCCGCGGCTATCGATGAGATCAACAGCAAAGTTCCAAACAGCAGAGTGACCTTCTTGCAGCTCGACCTGACGTCGTTTGCCGCAATCAAGAAAGCCGCAGAAGACTTTCAGGCCAGAGCCGACCGTCTCGACATCTTGATCAACAATGCCGGCATCATGGCCGTGCCTTACTCCAAGACGGAGGAAGGCTACGAGATCCAGTTCGGCACGAACCACATGGGCCATGCGCTGTTGACCAAACTGCTACTGCCTACAATGCTAAGTACGGCAGAGGAGAAAGACTCGGACGTCCGGGTCGTCAATCTCAGCTCAAGGGCGCATCAGGGCGCGCCCTGGCCCGGCATTGTCTATGACCAGGACGCCCTCGAGGGCTACGGCACCTACCGCCGGTATGGCCAGTCTAAATTGGCAAACATACTCCACGTGAGGGAGCTGGCGAGACGGTACCCGAGCATCACCGCTGTATCTGTACACCCAGGTGTCATCATCACGGATCTCTACGGCGCAGCCAACCAGAGCAATTTTATCGTCCGATGGGGGACGTGGGCAAGCAAATCCGTGCTTGGCGGCGTCCCATGGGGAGCGAAGAATCAGATGTGGGCTGCTGTTGGACCTAAGCATGAAGTCAGGAGCAGTTACTACTGGAAACCGATCGGCATCCCCAGTGCAGGGACAAGATGGCATGCACAGAAGCCAGAGCTTGCAGAAAAGCTCTGGGATTGGACTGAAGAGGAGTTTCGGAAATATGGCTACTAGTGAGGTTGCTGGCGTTATGAGTTGGCTTTGGTATTGTTCAGACCATCGAATGTCGTCGCGAGAAAACATAGCAACATCAGAGGGACATGACATGACATGCAAAGCCGTGTGTGAAAGTGGTATTCATGAGCTTTTTTCACATCAAGGGCGTGAATGTTGACCCTAGACCATGCTCTTGGTGCCGGATGTTCACAACAAGAACGCTCTAACGCCAAGCATCATAGGCTAAGCTTAAGAAAAGGTTCATATCTCTTTTAATGCACCACACTTGCTCGGTCAGGTCGACCCCTATACATAACACGTGCCGCCATCTTTGAGGCTATGCGTTACTGGAAGGACTTGACGAGTCAAGGCTTGTGAAAGAAGGAACTGAAGTAATTTCCTACTCCACATCGGCCTTGTTCTCCCCGCCGAAGTTTGCACCCTCAACTAGCTCAGGGATTTCGTCATCGTCATCGTCCTTCTTCTCGCCGCCCTCGCCCTCGCCACTCTTCTGCAGGGACTGGTAGCTTTCGGCCAACTTCCTCAGGGACGCAAGAGAGTCTGGGCCGAGCTGGTTCAGAATGCCAGGGACGAGCTCGGTAAGCTCCTTGTCCTCGCCGTTGCCGTACAGAGCGAAGGTGTTTGCTGGGACGGAGGCGTGGACTGTTCGTTGTTAGCACACGCTCATGTGTGCAGCATTTGTTGCTGTAGTGGTAGGTGGAGGAGCCGTTCATACCTTTTGGTGCAGAGAAATGGATGACGTTGCCGTCGCTCTTGAACATGTTGACCTCCTCAATCGCCTGGATTGGCTGGACGTTCATCTTCTTGAGAGCGCCTTGAAGCTTCTTGTCATCGGTGCCGCTGCTCTTGTGGGTCTTCTTGATCTTCCTTCTTGGTGTACCCTTGCCACTGTAAAGCTGTCGTTAGCCTGTGTCCACTGCATCTTTCTGAAAGCTTCCAGGAAATTAGATTGCGCTCGGCTGATCATCGTGGTCTATTATCAAGGCAGCTGAGGGAGTATAGCGACAAGCTGCGGGGGTTGAACGGTGAAGTGTGTATCAAGTTGAAGATGCATACCCTGTTCGATAAATTAGTATTAAAACATGATTTTGAGATCATCGCTGAGCTGGGTCTGAGCCAGTATCATATCAACATACCAGTGCGGACACTCGCCTGCATGCGAGCCAATTTCTCTGCATCGCAATTGTTAGCTCCAGCTTGCCCACACAGGCTTTTTATATTTCAATCCAGGCAGTGCTGCGTACCGTGGTCCATGATGGGGATGCGGTTAGGTATATGCCTCTGCAAAGATCACAAGGATAGTGATCAGGAAGAAGAGCACGAGGGCGGTTGTCTCAAATTGCGCGGTGGATCAGAGCAATGTCATCGACAACAAGTACCAAACGTGGTGATGGTGGCCGTTGCTTGCGGCTCTCGAAGTGCACTCTCGGCTGTTGCCGTTTGTGCGAAAGCTTGGCATCTGAACTCCAAGCCTTCGATACTGTTTGACGTGAACGGTATGCTGGAATACGTGCTGCGCTAGCGGTGGGGTCCAAAGAATAGACGCTGCCATCTGCTACGGATACTCTACACATAGTCTATAACGAGAGGGATGCGCGATTGGACGAGTCTGCGGCACCTAGAATGCGGTGTTCATGTTGCCCTACAATATCTAAACTGCTTTCCAAACGCCGAGGAGGGAATTGCTGTTTCATCGATACAAAGCGTGCACGAAACTCCATACAACGGATCACAACAAGTTTCCATCACAATCTCCAACCACGCTCTCCTCAATCATCGGAAATTAATCCTATAAGTGAGCAGAGGGATCTGATGCTCTAGTAGGCAGCCGTTGCGTCTCTTCAAAAAAATGATATCATTATATTAGAGTAAACCGACCAGTATCACATACTTCACAGCTTGGGCTTGTGGTTTAGTGGTATAATACATCCTTAGCAGCATTATGCATTGTCATTCAAAGCCAATGTCCTAACGTCTGGATGGGGTCCTGGGTTCGATTCCCAGCAAGTCCATTTTTGTCCTGCTTTGCACATGTGGTTAACTATATTCTTTTCGCTCATCATGGAAGAGGATTGAACAGGATGAACGAGCAAATGGATTTGATTGGACTTATGGTGTCAGTCGACCCGCTGTTAACGTCACAGACATATCGTCCTAAGTGGCTTTTCAAATCTATGCCAGCCTCGATGTATTGCATTTCAACCTAACAAACAGAACGCTCGGGTTGTAATACGTATGATTGCGTCCCAGGCGACACAAACAATGATAAGAACTGTTGGTTAACCTTGAGTGTTGGATGTAGGATTTAGCAAATCGTCTAGCCCAGATCGCGTATGCAAGAGAATATGTTGTCTCCTAGCAATAAGTAAAGGAGACAGGTGTGGTTCTCTATTGAGGTGTAATACCGGGAGTTCTCCCACACTATTTCTTTCTTCGGTGTAATGTTGATGCTACTGCTATAGGCCGAAGAACCTTGGAAGTTTCAAACATCTCGGCTTAACCCGGCGGCAACATCGGTTGCCGCGGACATAGTTTGATCAGCCCTGGTCGGAGATCTTGCCGACGCAAGCGTGGCCAAGGCTCAGGCAATACGTAACGACAGTCACATCCCACAAGGAAACTGAGCGTGAATGGATACTTCCGGGGTTGCTCAACTTATTCGTCACAGGCAAAGTCCTTAGCCTCCTGGCTGTTTTGATGACGTGAATGCCACTTGGGCTGTCGTTGGTGATATATTAATACGCGATACCTAACGTAAGTTAACAGAGACGGCAGCTCTCACTTCTCTTGAGATCCTTCTAGACATCACTAGCAATCGAATCTTAAAGGCAAAACATTGCACCTCCAACGCAATTTTCGTATCGGACGCATCAGGTAGAGAACAGATTGAAGCACGCCATCTCGCCTGACTTGCAGTGTTCCTCTCAAACGACCTTGATTCAACCCACAAGAGCAGGCTCGTCAAATCTGGCCTACAACTCGAATCTCGAGAGCACTCAATCCGGCTGTCGTTAGGAACCCATACTAGCTATGGCATCCAGTGGATCTGACGTCTGCCTTTATCTCCTTGCCATCTTCGTTCCACCACTAGCTGTGGTTCTGAAGGTGGGCTGCGGCGCCAGTTTCCTCATAAATATATGCCTCACTATATTCGGTTGGATTCCCGGTTTGATTCATGCATGGTGGATTGTTGGAAGGAATGACCCTGCGAGGCACAAATAAACCAGGGGGAAACCGTGGAGCACTCATGAGACGGGAAGCGTAAGACGCCGGCGTCTACAGATTCCGGGTCCAAAGGGAGATCAGAAGCCGCGGCATGTCGTAAGCCTATCTAGAAGTCTTCGAGTGCTCAAGAGATGTTTTGGGAAACTATAGGGAGGACAATAGTTCATATTTAAGATTTTCCAAAGGTAATATCTTTCTTGCGTTGATGGGCAAGCGCTCCAGGCATTGATCGGTTCCATATTACAATAATCTCATCAAATTGACATCAACGAGTCTATCGTTTATCAAGGTTTGACCACCACACACTTAGTAGACCACTGAGATATTGTATTAACGCTCCAGTATATGCCTCGGTGTGGGGTTGAAAGTCTGAGCTGCAAGGCAACCTTCCACCGCCACAAGGCAAAGCTTCAGCCACGTCACTATATGCTCTGCGCGTCAGTGATTGAAAAGCTCACCATGCTTGCTACCGGCTAAATGATAACCCTCACACAGCCATGCAGTCAATAAGACAGGTCGCACGACTGAACGAGGCGGAACTGGAGAAAGTGGTCCCGCCCAATGCATCTTGGCACACCGATTATCGCGATACCGCCTACATCTATATAGGTGGCCTACCTTTCGAATTGAGCGAAGGCGATGTACTTACAATATTTTCCCAATACGGAAACCCTGTCCACATAAATCTTGTACGCGACAAAGAGACAGGCAAGTCACGCGGGTTCTGTTTCTTGAAATACGAGAATCAGCGAAGCTGCGACCTTGCAGTCGACAATCTTAGCGGCGCAAGCGTCTTGGGCAAGCTGTTGAGTGTAGATCACACTAGGTACAAGAAGCGCGAGGGAGAGATTGAAGGGGAAGGGCTGGAAGATGATGAGCAGGGCGGAGATGAGACTGAAGGGGAAGACGTTGGAGGATATAGGAAGAAGCGCAGGAGAACAAGTGAAAGCGTGAGTGCAAGCGAGGAAGAGAGACCAAAAAGGAAGGAAGAGGTTGAATTGGCCAAGCTGAGAAAGGACATGGATGACGATGATCCCATGAAGGCATACATGATCAGGGAAAAGGAGGAAGAGCTCGCTGAGGCTCTTAAAGTAGCCACTTTGAACAAGAGCAAGGCAACGGATCGCGAAAGAAAGCACAAGCATAGACATCACCGGTTGAAGCAAGAGAGAGACGATCGTCATGATGAGGGCAAAGTAAGTGGCCACACGTCAAGGCGAGATAAGGATGATCATGACTCTAGCAGGCGACGCAGAACACGGGATAGATCAAAGAGAAGGGAGCGCTCTCTTTCATCGGAATCAGATCGGTATGCTTCACACCGACGAAATCACAAAGTACGAGAGACATCTCGCTCCCCAGACCGCACGGTCAAGGGCCGGTAACGTTGATGATGATCGTCAGCAAAGACAAGAGCGTCAAGTTTAGTAACAGGCAGGGCAGTAACTCTCTGACCGTTGAAGCATAACACGTTGATACAGGAAGTCACCGTACAAACGACTTATCCCGAGGAAATTACTTGGGATTGCTCTTGGCCTCATCTCACTCAGCATCGACGTTCAGAGTCACGATTCCCACCCGGCTTTATGCCATGTACTCGTCGTTGATAATAGTCTTGACTATTGGTGAAAGTTTAAAGCACACAGTCCTTAGTATCATCATTGCAGCAGTGCTAAGCTTGGTCCACACTATATCAATACTGGATAACATCAAGGTCAGAGACGCCTCATTGAGCAGTAGTGTCTAGAGATGAACACCTACAAACGCTGAAATCAAGGATAGAGGGGGTGGGTGGAGATAAAGGACGAAGAGGAACATTCACACCTGGCCCTGAACGACGATCTAGTTTCTAAGCCAGACTACTACAATGCGTTAAAAACAAGTGCTGGAAGAAGCGCATTGGCTTACTGCAGATGATACGCACAAGCGGGTTAGATATCCGTGCGGGTATGTTGAAAAGACTTGGGCAGGCAAACGACAGGATCAGAGAAGTAGGGTGGGAGTTGCAGAAGATCCAGATGCAAATGGCGGCGCTGTGAACTGGCGGACTGTGATCGTGATGCCTGGGAACTAAGGTTGTCGCTGTGACTTAGACTTGCTTGCTGAAAGGCATGTTGTATATGTTTGGCTATATGCGGCATGGCGATCTAATGGCAATGACATCTATGGGTGCTTTAGGTCTATACCAAGGCTACACTATGTCCAGAACAAGTGTGCCTTCCCGGTACGGTCGCTTTTCTTGGTTAAATACTTACGCTTTATATATATATATGCAGCCGCTTTTGCATTTTCAGGACCGGCATTCCGCTCCTCCACCCACGAGTTGACGGTGGCTTACGACCATGTACCTACTAACACCTCCACCTCCCTTAGATCGGAAACACGCACTGCGCATATTATGCTCGTCGCTGTTAACGGTGGCAGCGTCGAAAGCACTTGCTATGATTTACACCTACCGGACGCTGTACACACTCTCTGCTATGCTATTGTTGGACCTTCACACTTTCTGGACCCTCGTCATTGTGCCTCTCATCTCTGTCCCACTCATGATTCATCTCTTTGTGGGTTGCAACAATGTGAGTAGACCCTACCAGCAGGGTGAGATGCTCTGAGTCAGTACACTGACAGTGCTATAGGACATATTTCAGCCTCACATGACGCAGTACCTGTGGAAGACGGCATACAAGATCGTAACTACAACTCGGTATGCTCATGTATCCCAAACACTGGTCTCCAACTGTAACACAGGACTGCTAGGAGATGCTGGTGTTGAATTCAATGAGAGAGCATCTCTATTGTACATCAAGTTATTGGGTAGAACTACTGTCTGGAATTCAGTCGATGGCCTTGCCAGTAACATCAGAACACGCCTTGCCTTCCTCAACGATATCGGCGATGAAGATATCAGGACGGAGCTTGAGTGGTTACTCAGCACCGGCGAGATCAACAACGAAAGCAAATGTTTGAAGACTCCTGCCTTCCAGATGCTCGTGATGCAACAAGTCTTGCAGGAGCAGAATACTACAGGACAGAGTCAAGAGGATCAGTCAGAACGCATTGCTGCGCTATTGAAAGAACTGAAACTACCGTGGAAATTGCTAGTTATCGATACAGCAAAGCTCGTAGCTACCAGTGTAGAGAAGAGTGAGGCTGTTAAAGATGCTACATGGCTGAACGCTGAGCTTATGCCTGCCGACAAATCAAAGAGGAACCTTGAGAGTATCGTGATTGCTCTGCAGAGTAGGATTGGAGAGCTGATGGAGGAGAAAACCAGCATAAAGCAAAACCTTGAGAGTCAGCTTGGAGCAGCATCACAGATCACAGCAGAACTAGAAGCTCGACTTAAGAGCTTGCAGTTTGACATGGAAGAGGGGGAAAGGGAACGAGCAATGCTGGAAAGCGAGATTGAGAAGCTGTCTAAGAAGTCGCAGACCCTGCTCAGCCAGCTTACATCTACAACCAAATCGCAGGCACAGCTTCGTCGAGATCTTGCTACCCACGCAAACGTACTACCAGACTTTCAAAGGTATTTCGAAGATGTACGGCAAGCACACGCAACCGTCATCAACTCTGTTCTGGCGGCGTTAGAGCCAGCTCAAGGCGAACTTACAAGACTCAGGGAGTTGCAAGAGCTGAGCGTTCGAGTTGAAGCCACAACAATCAACCCCTTGCTCGACCCAGAGAAGGCCGCCACGGGAAGCGAGCAAGAGGTTAGCGGGATGCTGGGAAAGACAACCGTTGGCCCCACAAAGATGCCAGCCCTGGAAACGGAGGGCACTACACGTGT